TTCTCTCTCTCTCTCCCTCAACCCTCACCATCTATCATCTCCCTTCCACCTTCTCCTTCCCCTCCCTCTCTCCCTCCACCCTCTCACTCCCTCCAGCATCACCCTCCCCTCTCACCCTCTATCCTCTCACCATCTATCCTCTCCACCCTCTCTCCTCTCACCCCTCCATTCTCCCTCCCCTCTCTCTCTCTCCTTCCACCCTCTTCCTCACCCTCTATCCTCTCTCTCCCTCCACCCTTCCCTCCCCCCTCTCTCTCTCCCTCCACCCTCTTCCTCATCCTCTATCCTCTCTCCCTCCACCCTCTCCCTCCCCTCTATCCTCTCTCCCTCCACCCTCTTCCTCACCCTCTATCCTCTCTCCCTCTACCCTCTTCCTCACCTCTATCCTCTCTCCCTCCACCCTCTCCCTCCCCTCTATCCTCTCTCTCCCTCCACCCTCTCCCTCCCCTCTATCCTCTCTCCCTCACTCCCCCTCCCCCTCTCTCTCTCTCTCTCACTCCCTCCACTCTCTTTCTCACCTTCCATTCTCTCTCCCTTCTCCACCGTCTCCCTCATCATCTATCCTCTCCCCTCACCCTCTTCTCCTCTCTCTCTCTCTCTCTCTTTCTCTCTCTCTCCCTCCACCCTCACCATCTATCATCTCCCTTCCACCTTCTCCCTCCCTCCCTCTCTCCCTCCACCCTCCACTCCCTCCAGCATCACCCTCCATCCTCTCACCCTCTATCCTCTCACCCTCTATCCTCTCACCCTCTCTCCTCTCACCCTCCATCCTCTCCCTCACCCTCTCTCTCTCTCCTTCCACCCTCTTCTCACCCTCTATCCTCTCTCTCCTCCACCCTCTCCCTCCCCCTCTCTCTCCCCCTCCACCCTCTTCCTCACCCTCTATCCTCTCTCTCTCCACCCTCTCCCTCCCCTCTATCCTCTCTCCCTCCACCCTCTCCCTCCCCTCTATCCTCTCTCCCTCCACCTCTTCCTCCCCTCTCTCTCTCCCTCCACCCTCTCCCTCCCCTCTCTCTCTCTCCCTCCACCCTCTCCCTCCCTCTATCCTCTCTCCCTCCACCCTCTCCCTCCCCTCTATCCTCTCTCTCCCTCCACCCTCTCCCTCCCCTCTATCCTCTCTCCCTCCACCTCTTCCTCACCCTCTATCCTCTCTCCCTCCACCCCTCCTCACCCTCTATCCTCTCTCCCTTCCATCCTCTCCCTCCCCTCATCCTCTCTCTCCCTCCACCCTGTCCCTCCCTCTATCCTCTCCCTCCACCTCCCCTCCCCCTCTCTCTCTCTCTCTCCCTCCACTCTCTTTCTCACTTCCATTCTCTCTCCCTTCTCCACCGTCTCCCTCATCATCTATCCTCTCCCCTTCACCCTCTTCCTCCTCTCTCTCTCTCTCTCTTTCTCTCTCACTCCCTCCACCCTCACATCTATCATCTCCCTTCCACCTTCTCCCTCCCCTCCCTCTCTCCCTCCACCCTCTCACTCCCTCCAGCATCACCCTCCATCCTCTCACCCTCTATCTCTCACCCTCTATCCTCTCACCCTCTCTCCTCTCAACCTCCATCCTCTCCCTCCCCCCTCTCTCTCTCCCCTCACCCTCTTCCTCCTCTCTCTCTCTCTTTCTCTCTCTCTCTCCCTCCACCCTCACCATCTATCATCTCCCTTCCACCTTCTCCCTCCCCTCCCTCTCTCCCTCCACCCTCTCACTCCCTCCAGCATCACCCTCCATCCTCTCACCCTCTATCCTCTCACTCTCTATCCTCTCACCCTCTCTCATCTCACCTCCATCCTCTCCCTCCCCCCTCTCTCTCTCTCCTTCCACCCTCTTTCTCACCCTCTATCCTCTCTCCCCTCCACCCTCTCCCTCCCTTCTCTCTCTCTCCCTCCACCCTCTTCCTCACCCTCTATCCTCTCCCCTCCACCTCTTCCTCACCCTCTATCCTCTCTCCCTCCACCCTCTCCCTCCCCTCTCTCTCTATCCTCCCCCTCTCCCTCCCCCCTCTCTCTCTCCCTCCACCCTCTCCCTCCCCTCTCCTCTCTCCCCTCCACTCTCTCCCTCCCCCTCTATCCTCTCTCCCTCCACCCTCTCCCTCCCCTCTATCCTCTCTCTCCTCCACCCTCTCCCTCCCCTCTATCCTCTCTCCCTCCACCCTCTTCCTCACCCTCTATCCTCTCTCCTCCCCCCTCTTCCTCACCCTCTATCCTCTCTCTCCCTCCACCCTCTCCCTCCTCTATTCTCTCTCCCTCCACCCTCTCCTCCCTCCTCTCTATCCTCCTCCCTCCACCCTCCCCTCCCCCTCTCTCTCCTCTCCTCTCCCTCCACTCTCTTCTCACCTTCCATTCTCTCTCCCTCTCCACCGTCTCCCTCATCATCTATCCTCTCCCCTTCACCCTCTTCCTCCTCCTCTCTCTCTCCTCTTTCTCTCTCTCTCTCCCTCAACCCTCACCATCTATCATCTCCCTTCCACCTCTCCTCCCCTCCTCTCTCCCTCCACCCTCTCACTCCTCCAGCATCACCCTCCATCCTCTCACCTCTATCCTCTCACCATCTATCCTCTCACCCTCTCTCCTCTCACCCTCCATCCTCTCCCTCCCCCTCTCTCTCTCTCCTTCCACCCTTTCCTCACCCTCTATCCCTCTCTCCCCTCCACCCTCTCCCTCCCCTCTCTCTCTCTCCCTCCACCCTCTTCCTCACCCTCTATCCTCTCTCCCTCCACCCTCTCCCTCCCCTCTATCCTCTCTCCCTCCACCCTCTTCCTCACCCTCTATCCTCTCTCCCTCTACCCTCTTCCTCACCCTCTATCCTCTCTCTCCCTCCACCCTCTCCCTCCTCTATCCTCTCTCTCCCCCACCCTCTCCCTCCCCTCTATCCTCTCTCCCTCCACCCTCCCCTCCCCCTCTCTCTCTCTCTCACTCCCTCCACTCTCTTTCTCACCTTCCATCTCTCTCCCTCTCCACGTCTCCCTCATCATCTATCCTCTCCCCTTCACCCTCTTCCTCCTCTCTCTCTCCTCTCTCTTTCTCTTCTCTCCCTCCACCCTCACCATCTATCATCTCCCTTCCACCTTCTCCCTCCCCTCCCTTCTCCCTCCACCCTCTCACTCCCTCCAGCATCACCCTCCATCCTCTCACCCTCTATCCTCTCACCCTCTATCCTCTCACCCTCTCTCCTCTCACCCTCCATCCTCTCCTCACCCTCTCTCTCTCCTTCCACCCTCTTCCTCACCCTCTATCCTCTCTCTCCTCCACCCTCTCCCTCCCCTCTCTCTCTCCCTCCACCCTCTTCCTCACCCTCTATCCTCTCTCTCACACCCTCCCTCCCCTCTATCCTCTCTCCCTCCACCCCTCTCCCCTCCTCTATCCTCTCTCCTCCACCCTCTTCCTCACCCTCTATCCTCTCTCTCCCTCCACCCTCCCTCCCTCTCTCCTCTCACCCTCCATCCTCTCCCTCCCCTCTCTCTCTCTCCTTCCACCCTCTTCCTCACCCTCTATCCTCTCTCTCCCTCCACCCTCTCCCTCCTCTATCCTCTCTCTCCTCCACCCTCTCCCTCCCCTCTATCCTCTCTCCCTCCACCCTCTTCCCACCCTCTATCCTCTCTCCCTCCACCCTCTCCCTACCCTCTATCCTCTCTCCCTCCACCCTCTCCCTCCGTCTATCCTCTCTCCTCCACCCTCTTCCTCACCCTCTACCTCTCTCCCTCCACCCTCTCCCTCCCCTCTCTCTCTCTCCCTCCACCCTCTTCCTCCCCTCTCTCTCTCTCTCTCTCCCTCCACCCTCTTCCTCACCCTCTATCCTCTCTCTCCCTCCACCCTCTCCCTCCCCTCTGTCTCTCTCCCCCACCTCTCCCTCCCCTCTCTCTCTCTCTCCCCCACCCTCTCCCTCCCCTCTATCCTCACTCTCCCTCCACCCTCTCCCTCCCCTTCTCTCTCTCCCTCCACCCTCCTCCCCCTCTGTCTCTCTCCCTCCACCCTCTCCCTCACCCTCTATCCTCAATCCCTCCACCCTCTCCCTCCCCTCTATCCTCTCTCCTCCACCCTCTTCCTCACCCTCTATCCTCTCTCTCCCTCCACCCTCTCCCTCCCCTCTCTCCTCTCACCCTCCATCCTCTCCTCCCCCCTCTCTCTCTCTCCTTCCACCCCTCTTCCTCACCCTCTATCCTCTCTCTCCCTCCACCCTCTCCCTCCCCTCTATCCTCTCCTCCCTCCACCCTCTCCCTCCCCTCTATCCTCTCTCCCCCACCCTCCCCTCCCCTCCTCTCTCTCTCTCCCCTCCACCCTCTCACTCCCTCACCCTATACCTCCACCACCCTCTTTCCTCTTACCCTCCATCCTCTCACCCTCTCTCTTGACCATGTTTACCTCCCGCAGTTTATGATACCAATATAAATGCGATGATTGCTGTCTGTCATCTCAAGCCCCAGATTCAATTATACAATCATCTCAACGATCCTGAGAGTAATATTGACATCGTCAGCAGATAACGTATCCGAGAGCATACAATGTGGTGGCATTCTGGAGCTCAAAGGGGCAAGGAGGAACTTGTCCCCACCTCAATCAACGGGCGAAAAATCAACTCAGAGTGAGAAAGGAGAAACTGATACGACGCCCTTAGTTCATATACTTTCCAAAATAAATAGTTAGGTAGTGTAATTTGCATTTAATCAGAAGAGAAGCGCCAATTTCCAGCCCCCCCCCCCCCCATCAAAAGTAAACGCCCCCTTAATATTTTATAGATCGCTTCGCCGCTTCAAGGGGCATTTTACAGCATGGACAATAAATGTATTACCTACCCTATTTCCTTTTCTTTTGTGTTTTACAATTAATTGTTCTTGTTCAATTTGTTTGAGACAATCATTGTAACCTCACGCAACGCACTACTGTCATAGAAAATTTGCAAAATTATCAATAAAACAATTATTTAAAAATTGCATTTTAACAACAATAGATAAATCATTCTGAACCTTTCTTTTTACCTTCTTATTTGTAAATTCTAGAAAAAAAGGTAACTAGGCCTTATTTAATGTTCCTCTTTTCACATTTCTGGAAATGGTTGTGTCTTTCTATGTCAATTTATATTAACTTCCACGTTATACACTTTTATTTGATGTAAATGTTCATCTTTGCGAATGAAATCAGATGGCATCAAAGGAGTACGAGAGAAAGAGAGAGAGAGAGAGAGAGAAGGGGGAAATACTGACAGTTGAAAATGAACGACGGCTCGATTCTAATGGTTTGAAATAAAAAATAATAATAGAATGATAATAGTGGGTTCTCGTATACCGCTAATATCTGTCAGACTTGACACTCATGGCTTTCCACAATTTCACGGCTTTTATAGCATAACTACCATTATGGTGCTCTAGCATTTCAATACATTAATTCCTGTCAGGTACACATTAACCTCACCTGGGTCGAGTGTGGTAAATGTAGATTAAAGTCTTGCCAAAGGACATTAGTTTCCGCCGGGACTCGTACCGCGATAGTAATATCGTTAATATGGCCATGATGAACGCAATCCGCTTTGAAATCTGCACATGTCAAGTGTTAATAAACAAACAAGCAAAAACAAATTAAAAGAAATACATACAAAACAAGTAAACAAAATGTATCCAACCAACAAAGAAAGAAGTATCCAATGTGTTTGGATGAATCCCGTTTAGAAATGAAATTTTTTTTTTTTTTTTCATTCAGTTCCTCATGAGGGAAAAGGTAAACAGAAACATACTAAGATGCAATACATGGCAAAATAAAACAAATATCAGAAGCATGATTCTCGATAATAGACATGGAGAAAAAAGAGATGGAGAAAGAGAATGGGGGAGGGGTAAGAGAGAGAAGAAAGTGAGAGACAGTTAGTGAGAGACGGAGGATATAAAATATTTATTGAAGAGGCACACTGCCTTGTGTCATATCAACTTTACCAAGTAGGGTGTAATAAGAATTGATGAGGTTATTTATTCTTTCCGATGCGACTTCTTGTGACGTCAAGTACGCGTGGACACTACAACGCACTAAGGGGAACTGGGTGAGCGGGAAAGCTCTGAATTTCACAATTTTACAATCTTACGTAGATAAGCACAGCGCACTCAGGTAATGGAAAAGGGTGCCAAATCTGTGTGTGTAGTGCTCAGACCGAGTGTGTGCAAACAGGTAGTTTGTGTGTGGAGCTCGAGGAGACGTGGACGATGTAAAAGGCGACGAATTTGGGATGTTTGAGATAGTTAAGGTAGCATGCTGAGTGCTGTTTGCAAAAACCCACGCTCAATTTCACGCATGTAAACGAGATTATCGACCCAGTACAACACAATCGGCTGGAATGGCGACGAATAGAGGCTATTCTTCTACGACGTTACTTAGCAAATATGAGGAGTTAATTGGGTGCTGTTTTGGTTTCGGGCAAGCTTAGCAACATGGATGGCCGTGTCGACCATGAAGTGGACATACCGAACGGTGATGCGACCACGCCGCCAGCGCAGGCAGACGATAACGGTCAAGCTGCTGGTCAAGAGGGTCTCAACCATCTCCAGCCAACTCAAACAGGTCTCTCCTACTACCTCTCTTTCTTTACCGGGACAGTGCGACCTCTCAGTGACTGGGTCTATGATAAACCCTTACCCGTCCGATTCCCCATAGCATGCGCCAGGGCACTGGACAACCCATCTTCGTGAACAACCCATTCAGCGGAATTCTCATATTGGCCGGACTATTTGTGCAGAGTCCCTGGAGGACTATTTGCGGACTCTTGGCCATGTTGACCGCCCAGACCACGGGTCTAGTCCTGCATCTAGATCGGGATGGGATGGACAATGGAGCATTCTCCTTCAATGGTCTCCTGGTTGGGTACGTGTTGGCATCCAGTTCGGCTGCAGGGGATTGGTACGGGTACCTGGTGTTTCCCGTAGTCATATGTGGCATGTTAAGGTAAGTAATTTTCATATTGACTTAGAGATTATTTTTTAAACATGTAAGAATTTTACTATACTATAGTTAATGTTGGAGCAGACATTGTCGGGCAAGGCAAGCCTGCAAACCAGAAAGTATCCTTCCAACAGCCTTGAATGTAAAACAAAATGTTGATTAAAGTCAAAGGGGTGAAAATACAGTATTTCTTTTAACTTTTAGAATACAATTTTTGTTGAAAATTGATGTTACAGAAAGCAGCAAACTCCGTTCATATTAAATAAGAACAAAAAGGAGAAGAAAATCGAGAAAAAAAAGAATCCCAGATGAATGTCAATAATGCAACATGCCAACCACGAGACATTTTGGAGAACATATCATTTTACCGTCGGACTGTCCCCAAGGCTTCTTGGTAGGCGAATCGGTCTGCATGAATAATTGTAATGATACATAAAACATAAAGAGAGATAGAAAAAGTGAGCGAGAGAGATAGACATATATATATATATATATAAGAGAGAGAGAGAGAGAGAGAGAGAGATAGACTGAGAAAGATAGACAGACTGAGGTTATGTGTGTGGGCGAAGAAAGTGTTCTTGTTTGTGGTCGTGCGTGTTATGAAAAATGGGAGGAAGGAGAGAGGAGAGAGAGTTTATTAAAATATAGATCATAAACAGAAGGTTGCAAGACTAGTAACATGATTTGATATATTACAAGATCTATTCAAATTTGTCTTTTGATCAATCATTTCATTATTTCAGTCGCAAGAAATATGTTTGTTCATATACCAATTAATCATTCTAAAGGTATGGGAGCCTTGGAGGAATATTAGTACCACTACCCCTTCCCTTCTTCCTGCAACAAGCATCTATAAAACGGTTATTCAGATCAAAAACCCTAACTGATAGGCATAATGGTCGATATATTTATATATTCTACCCGCATTCAATATGATCGGAAGCAAGCTACCGTTGGACGATATTAACATTTTAGCCCCTTCCTTCCCGAGACACACACTTCCTTGAAAAAAGTCCGATGCTCAGATGACGATTCCCATCGGTTGACATAAATGAAGGAATTGAATTTACTATCCCTTCTGGCTTCCGCAGTCGAAATAAACAGAGGCAGAGGTAAACAACCGTTGGAGAACACTCTCCCTCGAACCATTTCCCGTACATAAACCCCTTGGAAAGGTTACATTCTGATCACGGCTCTCAGCTATCATGTGGATGCATATTAAGATTCCCATCCACAATCAATCCGATCACAGATAGGCTATCATTGGAAGACATTAATTACCCCCTCCCCTCCTGAAACCAATCATACAAATCATTTAAAACACTTACCAGTATTAGATGGATGCATTTATAGTATCCGCAATCAATTTGATGAGAGGTAAGCAAATGTTGGAGGACTTTATTTACCCTCCCTTTTCCGAACGCATGGAAAAGGAAATATCCCATAATTATAATAAATGATAAAAACAGGGTAGATGAATGCATTCCCATATGCAACAAAACTTTCTAGAGGTAAGCGAACTTTGGAGGACATTTACCCCCTCCTCTGCCCTAGCTGCACACCTCAAGATAATCACAATCCGACTGATGTACATGCATGGATGTATCATTACCTGAAATCAGTTCGACCAGAGATAAGTACCTTTAAGGGGACATATTATATTCTCCTTCACCAGACACACTTCTCCTCGGAAATGATAATAAAAACCAACCGGGAGACATAGAATGATAGACGGATGTATTCACCACGTTTATATATCCTTCTACAGTCAATATCAACAGAGGCAAACAAACGTTCGAGGACATTACCCCTAATTCCCCCACCCCTTCTCTCCCCAGTCACCTACCTTATTTGAAAGTGTATGATACTAATCAATGCTCTCTAAAGATGGTCATAGATGGATGGAATCATTGATAATCTGTGACCACAAGCATGCAACTATTGTACACTAAAAACCACGGCTGTCCGAGTTCGTGCGTCGTTCAATTCAATTTAATTCAATTCATTTTATTTATTCATCCATTCAACCATCTCTGTTGAATAAATAATATAATGTAGAATTCATTCACGAATTAATAGAAATGCAGATTTAGCCACTTTCTCATTAATAAAGGGGGGGGGGGGATACGAATTTTTTTCACGCGAGATAAAAGAAATTCAGACAAAAACAAAATATAAAAAAACAAAATAATTGAAAAGCAGATGACTCGTGAATTTAATAGACATGACCGTAACATACGTTTATTAGTACATTTTTGCTTGAAGATACTATATTTTGCCTTGTACTGTCTGTTTAATGTAGATTTTTTTAAAACTCGAAAATCGATGCATTTTACTTGTGCGTTGGGATGAAATAATAGACAATGAACGAGTCTGTCTCTTTGCCGTTAGCCCCTTTTCAAATGTGTATATTTGAATAATTGAGTAAAAGCAGGTGCAGATTTAGTGCTTGATAATGAGTGTTTTCACACCTTCCGGATAGGCTGATAGGACTGTCATTCACCGTTAATGTGTTTTCAGTCTCTCAGTATAATTGACGTGAATTGGTTCTATGACATGAAGTAGAAGTAGAAAGACAGCGACAACAAGTCTGGAATAATAAAAGAAGATCTCCTACACATGATGGGAAGGTAAGAGAAGAGACACAGCAGAATAAATCGTTACGGAAATAAGTCTTAAGTGATGAGTAGAGAATAGAGAATGGAGAAAAGAGAGAAGAAAGAGAGAGAGAATAGAGAAAAGAGAGAAGAGAGATAGAGATAGAAAGAGAGTCTTCTGTCTTCTCCCCCTTCTTTTTTCCCCTTCTCATTCTTTCCTTTCTGCTTTCTCTTTCCCCTACTTCTTCATCTCCTCCTCTTTCTTTTAGATATCAGAAATATCCAGATGGGGCTTGGTAACTATAGGTCTGTGTTGTAAAGGAGGTCTATTGAATTAGTATGGTAATTAAGTGGTTTTAACTTATTATATTTCAAAATAAATCAAACTGTGCTTTTCTTTTATAAAGCCCTTACATTAACACGATGTCATAACGTAACTATATAATAAAAGAGAAAATACTTATGTGACGCAGTAACACGTTTGAATTATTGACTCTCTATTGGGGTTTAATGAAATGCGAGTAACTCGTAAATTACAGATGAGCATAATGTAAACCGATGTGTTTAAATTATCTCGGGGGGGGGGGGGGCAATCCAACCCGTGTAATAAATTCATTTGCATGAAAGTAGAAAAATAAGATAAACGGAATAGAGAAAGTTCGAAATAAATCGGACAAATAATAAGAAAGTAATGAATGTTTGAATTATGACATCACTAAATCTTTGCAAACCTCATATTGGCAGTTTGGTCAGTGGATCGTGACGTAGTCACGCATTACTCTCCCGTTTGTCGTGTACAAACATATCACCTGTTTGTTTTTCTCCTCAGTGCCTTATCCCTTGGAGCAATACTCAATCCATGTTATGGATAACATATTAGTGTAGGCCCTCTAAAGATAAAAGATCCTCCCCAGTCATACATTTGAGAAAAATCGAAATGCAGTCATTTGTATGTTGGAACAGCTGGGAAAGTTGTCCGCCACTATATCACAGAGACATTACCGATTCGGCCAATTTGAAGAGCCCAACTGATAGTGTTTACAACTTTAACAAAATCATATCCTTTTCATTTTATGTGCGAATTTCATTCAAACTTTAAGCAGTGTACTTCTCATTTGTCTATTTTCAACTTATAGTCTGCTATCAAGGTTATAGTTCTATTTAAATGATAACTTGAAAACTTAAAATACGAAACATTAAACAAACAAAAAACTTCAAAGTGTCTACTGTGCGAGCTTTTAGATGTGTTGATATTGGGAAAATTACCTCTGAAAGCTAAAAAGTAGCATGTTTTAATTATCTTTCTTTTCATTGTTTAATTTCAAACTGTAATCGTTAAAGCAATTTTGAATCGTCGTTAATCTGAATTGTTAGTCCAATGCGTGCATATCTGTGTTTAAAATCTTTATTTGATTGTCATATATTTATGAGTACGACACGGATAAAGAAGCTAAACCCGAATTCAGAATGATGGCCCTAGAATTCTATTTAGAGTCACCATTTCACATTTCCTCTATAAACAAGACTGACGTGGATGAGAATTGCACCATATGTTGCCCTGAACATCAATGATTAATGTGGTGCACCTATCTCTCGGATGTTAGGATCCAATATCAGAGATGAGATAGTCAGGAAAATAAACGAGGAAATGACATCGATTTATCTTTCGTTTGAAAGATTGGTTTATAATGATTCTTTATGGACATGATAGCTGGAATATAAATCCGAGTTGCTAAAGCCAGGGTAATAATTGGGAGCGCCAGGAGTGTCACTTATGACAGACATGAGCGCTATACAAGAACCCACTATTAATAGATAAATCAATACTGCCTATTTTTTCAATACACAGATTCCATACGCACTAACGCACACAATTACGATGTTCTTGACCTGATTCTGTGAACGTCATTATAAGTGTTCGTCTTACTAAAAATAGTGTCTCATATCTTTCCTACACATGACAATCACCAGAATACCAAAAAGAGATGCTTTTGTAATCTTCAACAATATTTTGAAATTTAAATTTCAAAATCAATGGCTTATATAATCAATTATTCAACTCACTTTAAACAAAAAAGCACTAATGTTTTGTCCATAGTTTCAGAATTGGAGTAAATCTCCTTAAAACGTATCATGCTAATGTTTTACTTTACAATGCAAACCAATTTCATCAAAAACCAAACTAACCCCTTTGAAAAAAGAAAGAAATAAAGATACGCTTTATATTTAGAGCGCATATTACGCTGTTAAAGGCCCAACAATAAATTTATTTCAAACCGATTCTACTCATCAGGCGCAAGGAAATTTAACGGAATAAATGTTCTTATAATTCTCAGCATTCTTCATATATTAAGCTTAATTTCTTATATGTTGCTGTGTGGCCAAGGTCTTTTTGTAATATTCTAT